CCCCCAAGTTAAGGACGGCCCCTCAGTCCACAAAAACCACCCGTTTCAGCCCAGGATAGCTGCATTTTCTCGTCATCTTCGTCTATCACTTCGTCTATCAATGCCAATAATCAGCCCGCTGGATACCCATGCACCCGAGCAGCGGCGTAGCGTGAATTGTGATATATCGATTAATCTACCATTTAAACCTATGAAAAAGGATCGATAAATAGGGTGTTCGCAGCGAACACTTTAATAATCGATTCTTTACCATAGGTTTAAATGGCATAACAATCGATATATCGCAATTCACGCCACGCGAGGCGGGGACGGGGGCGGGGGCGGGTCTGGCGAAAATGAAGTGTTGATTAAAATCTGTTTTGTTTCGACGGGACGCGACGGGGACGGGGACGGGCGCTGCGGAGACGGGGACAGGGACGTCACCTTTGACGCGACGCTCTTCATCCCCTCGACGGCAGCGGCGGGGGCTCGGACGTCAGACGTCCTTGGGGCGACTCGCCTCGTCTCCCGAGGACGCCGTCCGCAATCAACGTTCCCCCGCCCCGCTCCTCCCACGGAGAGAAACTACTTACGCTCCGCGAATTTTATTCGCGAAATTTCTGTCCCAGACTGTTCGTTACACGCAGGGATAGACGTGTCGAAGGGAGGTCGAGGGTTCAATTCATAGGGTTGTACTCAAAGTCGTTCCTTGAACAGCTCCTTCCCTCAGGAAGCCCCGTACGATTTACATTTTTCCGCGATTTCTCCCAACTATACTAAAACTTGATGATTTTAAGAGACCTTAAAGTAGGTGCGTACCACTTTGCTATACAGGAAAAACTGATACATTTATATGGACTTTTTTTAATTATTTTTTTTTCTCTATATTTTGCGTTTTCCCGATAATAATGTTGAAGAGAGAGGAAACTTTAATACAAATTAAATTTACTTGACGTCTATTTTAAGGGATATCACTGCATTTCGGGCGACGGATTTTTATACTTTTGGCTTGGTGGTTCATCTTTACATGGAATCGTTTTTGGTGCGAATTATCAGTGCAAAAAATAAAAATAAAAAGTGCAAAAAGGATTATTATTTTTCCGCCTTTCGAAGAAAAGCTCAAATTGGAGCTCTTGAAACTTGCACGTGAGTTTTTTGAACGCCACATGACTCAACAACTCAACAATGCTCTTGAAGTTTAGCTTATTGTTAGTCCGTCTTTAATTACTTATCGCGTCATTAAAGTTCTTCTCACTCGAAATCGAGGAGAATTGACAGTTAATGGATGAGAGTGGGCAAAAACAGCTGATAATATAGGATTTCACGAATCGCATGATTAAGCAATGTTAACCAATAATGTTACGTCGAGACTACTTGGTAATGCTTCAATGTGGTGCGGTGAAATCAATGAACTTTGCTAGAGGATTTTCTCTTATAAGTTCATTGTAAATCCTACTTGGACAAACTCTCAGAGTCGTTCATAAAAAAATTCCTCTGTGCTGATGATTTAAAGCAAGTTCATACAAGCGGGATGATTTCTGAAATTGATAGAGAAAGCAAGATTGAGTAGGCAAAGAGAAAATGGAACAATCCTGTCGGTTAAAACGGGTGTAGTTGTCATACACCAAGAGTGAAAATGATGGGCTATAGGTCTCTAGTTGGATGGCAGTTCGTTAGTCCTCCTCCGTTCATTGCAACTACTTGCTTCCACCAATATACGATCGATTCATTTTCTCTTTGTCTTCTTGGTCCATAGCTTTGTCCATCAATATCTTCAATCAACCTGCAGGCTACCCAATAATTCAATCAAGTATTCTTATGAGCGTGTTGTACTGTACGTCTAAACTGAATACATCCTTCGCTGGTCAACTGAATACAATTTTTCGGATGAACCGGGTTAAAAAAGAAAAAAATCAATAAATTCTATCCATGCATGCGTCTTTTTAATACGACGGAATGCTTAGTGTCAACAAAAAATTATCTCATCAGATGGTTCTCAGTGGCGAGGCGTGAATTATTGACTATACATACTCTCGCAAATGAAGCTATATGGTAAAAAATCAATAATTAAGATGTTCGTTGTGAACATCCTGTTTATCGATTTTTTATGGGTTTAAATAGCAGATCAACTGATACATCGCAAAGCACGCCATGCCAATGTCGTTCATCTACTTTTACAATTCGTATTCGGTGCTGGAACACGTTTGATTTATTTGTTTTGCTATGTTTGGCACAGTGAACGAAGACATCTGGTTGGAGAACTACTTGATACTCAACAAAAACCGAGTGGAAAGAGCCTGCAAGAACTTGGAGCTTTACTTCAAATGCAGATCCGAGCTATCAGAGCTTTTCACCGACAGGGACCCTCACGCGGATGATGTGCAGAAAAGTTTCAAGTCAACGTAAGTGAACCTCATTTGTTCATGTTTCCAAACGATTCAACTGATTGACAGAAAATTTCACCGGTTTTTCCTCGATCTCATGCAAAAATCAGAAAAACTCCAGACGAAAATTGCTAGAGTGCTATCTTGTAAAAAAATTAATTCTTCGAGTCAATTTGGCAACCTTGGAATTCTTAGACATTTTTGGCTGAATTCGTCCAGGAAACGACGAATTGCACTACAGTTAACCTATTTTTCGCGAATCTAGAGTTCAGACTCTTGAAAACATTGACCAAAAAAGGACTCTTGATTCAATCAGATTTCAGCTTAAATCAAAAGGAAATCCGCTCAAATTAAGAAGCTTGGTTCTTGATTTAAGCTTAAATTTGACTGAATCAAGAGATTTTTTCTTGTCGATTTTTTGAAGAGTCTGGACTCTAGATCCAATGTGTTTTTTTTTCAGTGTAGGATTCAACATTCAACGCAGAGCCACGGAAAGAGTTTTGCTCTGTTTTACCAAGCTCCGGAGTTTAATCCGTCGCGTATGGATTTTGTCGGCGATGTAGCCGGAGCTGTGAAGCTCGGTGTCGAACAAGGCATAAGTCGAGCGCGGGACAGTGTCCTTCCCGGGGCATTAGAAAAAGGGATCCCGCCGGACAGTGGATCGGATCAATGCGGGAGATCGGACAAAATTTGGATACTTTAAAAGCTCGTAACTCCGTTTACACAAAACTTAGAGGCTCTAGAAGTAGTTTCACTTGTTTCCTCGTGAAATGTTCCTCTGGAACCACCCCTTGAAATTTCAAATATGACAAATTAAATATCAAAATTTGCATTTTAAGTGAAAAATTACTTGTCCGACCTCTCCGATTGACTCGGTCCACTGTGCGCCGGATCCAGCTCGGCTGAGGCGCCTTTAAGGTTTCCTCGCAATTAACGTGCGCCCGACGACTCTCCATTGCAACGCGCTTCGGGTTCCGACTGCTCCTCGCCGCACAGTGGATCAAATAAATAAGAAAGCTTAAGCACAACTTGAAAACTTCATAAAAGCTCATACCTTCATTGATCCGAACTTACAAAATTTAAAAATGCGTTTTTCGTACAATTTCCTTCGAGAAACAACCCTCAAAATTAAAATTCTGCAAAATTAAGCATGAAAATTCGCTGTTTAGATTAAGATTTTAAGTCTGCGTGCACTTTCGATGACTCTTTTCACCGTGCGCCGCGCGCTCAAAAGCTCAAACGCCGCCTTTTAATTCCGCCGACCTTCACAACGCCTGTTGCCAAATTTTCGAAAATAACTCCGATAAAGGGGTTTTTCTTTGAACTTCCGTCATTTCTCCTGACATTTCCAGGTTTTCCCTAACTTTTTAAAACTCCCCGACAATACCCGCGTTTCCCTGGGTGTGGCAACGCTGCTTTGCGTTCTAATTCTCATATTGACACAAAATGTGAGTTACTTCCTCTAGCTTCGATATTTTGAATTTCTGATTTTGAAGTATGTACTGATTTTGGGTTTCAGGTGCTTGGCGACGGTGCCAGAGCTGAACGAGAAGGGCGAGCGGGTGTTCATCTACGCGCACTTCACTTCGCGGGTCTCGGCGTTCGAGGTGATCCCGCTCGGGAAGCGGCTCTTCGCCATGATCGACATCTACCTCAAGGAGGGCATCGACCGCACCGGCTCCATCATCATCTGCGACCTCCACAACACCCGCCTCGGACACCTCACCCGCTACCCCCTCAAGCTCATGAAGAGGGCCTTCGAGTACGGCTGGGTCAGTCCACAAATCCCTTATACAAACAGGGTCATCCAAACTGCCGTGCTAGAGAAAAACGCCGTATGAACCTTCAGGCGTTGCCAAATTTCCTCCGGTAAATCATGAATTTTGTGGCAAATTTTTAAATATTTTTCCTTCAAATTTTTAGATCATTTTGCTCGTGATTTCACCTAGAGGTCCTGAAAATTTCGAGGAAAAATATTCATAACTTTCTTCAAAAATAACTCTTTTCTGAGAGTAAATTTGGCAACTCTCGGATGTTCATACGGCGTTCTTCCTTAGCACGGCAGCATAAGTCCCGCACCACCCCTATGACCCCTCGGATACATTCCCCTTTTCATTGCGGTCCCTTCAAAATTTTAGGGGTTCCCAAAAGTTGTTTCCTTCGACGTAGAAGCACTCACGAAATTTTAAGTATCTATTTAAGTTGGTTCAACAGTCACAGGGGTGATGTCTGGTGCTGGTGGTGCGAGAATTTTGGATTACCCTGTATATGAAATATATGTTACTCGCCTGAGCACTGAAAAAAATGTGCTTGGCTAAAACATGATGATTATTGAATTTGCAGCCAAGAATTGTTCTTATCTTGATTTAAGCTGAAATTTTATTGATACAAGAAAAATGCTCGGGTTAAGCAAAAAAGTAGTTTATATTAAGCAGCAAAATTCTTGATTCAAGAAAAAATACTTTTTGGCGGCAAATTTAAGATTTTTTTTTTCAGTAAAGGCCTCAAATCAAGAGCGGTCACACGTGGGATTCAGGTGGCACCACAGCTTTTGAAAAAAATCTGTACGCTGATCTGTAACAGGATCTGTGAAGAAGAACCTTATCTGTCAACAATTCATAAGTGAGTTATGGGTGCCACTGCATTGACAGAGAAAATCTGGGCGTTCTGACGCAAGTTTGACTCTGGAGGCTCGAAATTTGAGAGAGATATGACGTCTTGAGGTTCCAAGACGAAAGTTCTTAAGTTTTACGCTAAACGTAAAGGTTAAAGTTGCGGTTTAAATGTAGATTCGAAAGGTTAACACACATAAAAAGAGCAAATGGCGCCTGGTCCCTTCAGTGAAAGCTTATCATAAAATTGAGAAAAGTTAATTGAAAATTTTCTCATTGAGATACTAAATACATTATTAGAGAGTTACCAATTCTTTCATTTTGTTTCAGACCGCGTATCCCGAGCGAGTCCGTCAAATCCACATAATCAACCCACCACCTTACTTACAGGCCGTTTTGACTTTGTTCAGGCCTTTCCTCAAGGAGAAAATCAAAAACAGGGTAAGTGACTCGCGATCAGTAAACTCACCCCGATATTAACCGGCGACAATATTCGCTTCCTTTACCTCTTTGCTCAAGGGATTCTATAAAAAACTGTTCCTTTTAAATATGAAACGACGGTAATTCTTAATGAGTCAACCGGAAATATCTTTAAGGCGACAGGATGTTTCTTTACAAGAACAGGATTACAGGCCAGTAAATAAGGGATTTCCTATTTTTTTAACGAGGAAATTCCTGTCATGGCATAATTGATTTGGTTATTGAGTTAACTTATAACATATTGATTGAGTTAACCTAACTCTAGGAAATTTTTCCCCGTGCTCGGATTAGAACACGCGGCTCGGGTTTGTTTTGTTTCCTGTCATGATCCAACTTTGAATTTTACCGAGATCCTACCGGACCCTCATCAAATTGTTCAACCTCACCAGGTTTCATCGAGTTTCCTCCAATCTCGTGCTCTCCATCGAAGCGTTCATTAGGAGAAGGAGGGGAGGGAAAGGATTCTCGTGACCAAGCATGGTTGCAAGCTCACTCAAATTTTGGAAGTCCTTCCAACTTTCCGTATGCAGTGTTAGTATCAGCGTGTAAAAGGGTCTAATATATCAAAATTCTATAACCATAGTTTTGGCAAAATTCCCCGACTTCTTTATATAAAGGAAAGAAGAAATAAACAAAATTTATAGTATTTTTCCTCGAAACTTTTGGACACTTCGGATCAAATTATAATAAAAATTCTCCGAAAAATTGAAAGAAAAATATTGACAAATTTTACCGAAATTTCGCGATTTGTCAGAGAAAATATGGCAACGTCTGGAGGCTCGTGCGGCGTTTTTCCTTACCATGGTAGCATGCCACCGAGACCATTCAACGTCGAATGAAACTTCCGACGGAATAACATGCTAAACAAAGTTTTAAAACAGGGATTTCCCTGCCGATCGGACAATCCGGGGTCGCGCTCGGACGGGGAGACATCGCGACGGAAAATTGAAGCCCCCCCCCCCCAAAAACAGCGTCACCGTTCATTATTGAAGGGAAGGAAGGGGGGAGGGTCAGAGTCGACGGCTTCGCATAGGTTCCACTTGGGAATTCGCAATATACGGAGTGGCGAAACGGGGACGAGGGAACACACGAAAAAGGAGAAAGGAGTGGAACGAACGGCGGGGAGAGGAAAGAAAAAGAGAAAGAGAGAGGAAGAGGGAGATAGGAAAAAAGGAAGAAAAGCCAACTAAACACCTGTCTGGATAAATTACTTCAATCTAGTCCGGAAACGCGCAGCTCCGGAGTTGCCGCGCTGGGCGAGAGATGCGCTGAAAAAAAATTGGTCAAACTACTTTTTTCGTTTTAAGCAAAATATTAGATCATACTCCAGGAAGTGACGTGATCATGGCCCCCCCCCCATTCAAATGTGCTTCAAATGTGCCCCATTCAAATTTTAATTTAAGAAAAAAAAACGTAATTGTTCCCTGATTATGTCATTTACATAATCTGATTTGCTTTGAATAAAAAAACTTATTATATGAATAAAGTCAGATTTATTCGTTGGGCGCAAGCTTGAATCAAAAATAGTCATTGAGAACCCAAAATAACTCTCTAGAAAAATAACCATTATTTTTACATTTAAAACTGTTTTTAAATTAACATTCTTGGCTAGGCGATTGCAGTTGTTTCATGGAGATCGATTGGCGGGCGACCTGGTACCCGCGTGACGTGCGTTGACGCAAAACACGAGGTTTTGAGTGAGTGACTTCCCGTACGTGAACGAAAAGCTTGCGGAGTTGTTTCAATTGGCGTCATGTACATAAAAAAAGGAAAACTGGGAAACGGGTACCGCGAATCATAAAAACTTTGTTCCTAACAAGTTTAGCATAAATGATTGACAAATTCTTTGCAACAAGTATGAAACTTTGCAATGCTGCTCAAATTCCTCGAATTTGCCGCTGAAAACCGCGCACTGGAATTTTCCGACTGAAATCTTACATGCTTCCACTTAATGGACCTGCGTGACACACATTACAGTTACAGTCGACGGGGCACTAATTTTACAGGTAAAATCACATGGAAAAGATGAGCGTATCAGAAATGTCTGAAATCCGTTTTAAAGAATTTACGCATTCCGTAACAAGCCTTCTAAAAACCGCCATAGAAGGCATTTACCATAGATGAGTGGATTGAAGATTCTACCAGGCTGCTTAGACTGGACTACACAAGTTCGATACGGTATTTCACAAATAGAGCTTGGACCAATCTGAAGGTCTAGTCCTAACGGCTATTGATAACTTAAACCTACTCTTTCAACCAAGTACGATCGTTTACGTGGAGTCGCATGGAGAATCGAAAATTAACATTGGTTCTCGCATGCGTAATGGCTTCAAATGCCGACATTCATCATTAAAAAAAAATTCAATAATGATATAAATCCGTGACTGTACTTGAGGGATGAAGGACCAACAGAGACAAACTATTTTAGAGACACACTCTAACGATCTAAGCAATGTAATCAGGCGAAGCGAATGTTAAGTTCGGAGCTTAACTCTAATTTTCGCCTCATGATGATTGATGAGCGACGTATTGAGCTGAAAGTCAAATAAAATTCGCGTAGTGATGACTGATGAATGTCGGGTGAGCACTGTGCTGTAACTCGGCGAGTTTTTGTAAATAAGGTTAGGACTGCTAAACCGATAATCATTCGACTGTTTGATCATCAGACATGTTACGCATACATTACAGAAGAGATGCCCTGAGAGCCACCTCGCAGGTTGCTAAGAGGGGGTCGACCTGACTCAAATGAGCAAAAAATCTACTAAAAACAGGGGGGCGAATCGTTCTCGACCTTGCGATCGCACTGTTGCAATCAAATTGTGGGGATGCCCTAGAAGTTGTGAAGATTAAGAGAAATTCTTTTTTGGTTTGCAGATTTCCAGACTTTCAGCTGCTGTCGAATAATGCGATTTTGCCATACATCCTAAAATCAGCCGAAAATTGAACAAAATTTCGATTAGCGCGTTGTGCTGAGCTTTTTGCGATATCTCAGCACTGAAAAAAAAGTTACGGGCTATGTAGACATACCGTCCGTTCTGGGCTCTGAGGCCAAAAGTTCCGGGTGCCGAAGCCGTAGCTGCTTCGACTGTCTCGGGTGCTACACCCGGAACTTTCGGCCTTTAAGACCGAAACGAGGACGGTATGTCTATATAGCCCGTAAGTACAGTTTCAACGGCCTGAGTTTTTTTTTCCGTGAGCGCGTTGTAGGCTTAGAACAATTTGCACCCCTGTGAACAAAAAAACTAGCAATCTTTTATGGCTCTCTCTCACGTGCGATTTCAATCTTTTTTTTACATATTCAGAGACGATAGCAAAACCACCGACGCCACATTGCACCCCCTGAGGACCCCTGACGTCACTCCGCGGACGAATCGCCACCCTCTTTTTTCCCGGGCGGCAACGCTGGCGGTCGGCGAGTGGACGCCCCCTCCCGCAATCTGGGTTAAACGTTCGAGTGGGAAGCTTCGAACTCCCATCTCCTATTATACACTAATTTATGACTCTCATATCGCTCGCTTCCGCTCCTGATTCCTCAGTTCGATGCATCGATTGATCCGCCACTTTAAACCGTGGAAGAGGATCGATTATCGAGCACCTTGGTAATCGATTATTTACCACAGCTCCAAATGGGGATGAATCGATAGTCGATTATCCACGCACCCGCACCCGCCGACCGGAACGGATTTCCCGGCCTCCAGACCTCATCCGTCCATGATCCGCCGAGAAGAGTCGCGCGCGTCCAGGATCGGGGGCATGGGGGGGGGAGGACAAAGGGGGCGACGGGGGTTTCGTGCCGTAAAATTTGTGACCGGGGCCGAAATGTCTGCGGTCTAAACCGGCCTCTCCGCGAGTCAAATCATCGTGACCTCGACACTTGACCAAACTTTAATTTATTTTTTTTTGGCAGAGACGATATATTTTACAGAAACCCCGCACTCATAGGTTATCTACACTGAAAGAAAAAAAAATAACAGGCTATATAGATGAACCGGGCTAAGAGGCCGAGCGATACGGGTGCTCGGGCCGTCGCTTCGATAGCTCCGGGTGCTACGCCCGGAACTTTCGGCTTCTCCAGAACGCGGAAGGTATGTCTATATAGCCCGTAAGTACGGCTTCCACTGCAGGAGTTTTTTTTTTCTTCAGTGTAAGCTGTGAAAATTACTTAAGGAAATTAACGTATAGATACGCTTAGTGATAACTCATGACCGAGTTGCGCAATTGATTTAGTGATCCTGCCCTACATTATGAAACTCGCGTGGCAAAGTGCTCGCCTCGAGATTCGTCAGTCACCATTACTTGGATTGTATTTGATTTTCTACTCAGCAAGTTGCTTTTCAACCATAATAAGTTGAAAAATCAATGGCGTATAACTATATCAACCCTGCCGCCCCCACAGGGCAGGACGGGGAGGGCGTAGCGTTCCGGGGGGCGCAAACATTGAAAAGAAAATAAAAAAGGCGCAGCGCCTAAAATAAGCGGGGGAAGGGGGGGAGGCAAAAATTCCTAGTTACGCCACTGTCAAAAATGGCGTTGACCTTTGGTTTAGGTCTTTACGATGTATTGATACTTACTAGGTAGCTGAAAACGATTGCATATTCAAACAACACCCGTGCAATGATGAAAATATATCTGTACTTGTTGAGCAACATCGCTGCGGGTGTACCGTCACACGAGAAAACCAATATTTTATTGCTAATTGTGCGAGATTCGGAGGGATAAAAAACGCCTTCAATTTGATCATGCGCAACATCTTATACAGTGAGATCGGAGATAGTTTCACGGGCGAGAGAGAGTGGCAGGATGCAGATTGTAGATGCAGACCGCCGACACCACGCTGAACTGGCAGAGGATTACATACTTTTACATTGTTGCCACAGACCACATTTTTCCAAATATTTCCTTCGTTTTTTCGGAAACCGAAACAAAATGTTGCACAGATCAGTTGACACTTTAATTGAATT